GTCGTCGCTTATATAGTTTCCTCCAGGTAACCCAGAAGGTTCTCGAAATCTCCAGTCCAGGTGCGAAATTTCCCGCTTGTCAGTGTCATATTTGAGCCCCATTTGGGCCCCATTTACTGAAATACCATGAATTTCGATCCCCCATTCCAAACGTGAGTACCCCAGGCCATTTCCGTTACAATATCATTTATCAACAATAATAACATAAATACAAAACCAAAAACATTACCTCCATACTAATGAATCATAATCGCGAAGGATATTTTTATTTTTGTGTATATTTTCAAAACTATGATTAGTTCGTTTTTACTTTTTACACTGCATTATAAACATGAATATCACACTACTGAAAAAACATATTTCCACAAGACGCTATTAAAACAAGAATCTAAAGAGACTAATAATCAAACGGCAACACCTTGCTAACGCGGTAATTTTGACAATGGGGTTGCAATCTGCAGCACAAAACAGCGAAGTTTGCTCGTAAAAAATTAGATAGCAAATTTCCAATTTCCGTTGCAATAGGAAAATCAAAGCACTGTCTAGTCAATGTGAAGTCAAAATTGCCCAAAGTAGTAGCGATTCCGCAAAGTGCCTGGTGAGTTGGTCAGTTTTGCAAAATGCCTAGGAATTTCGCACATTGCCGGCCTTCGTACAATACCGGTAACATATATTTGTAAAATTGAGTAAAATATCCCGAACTCACCTTTTATATGTAGCGTTAGATTTTCTTGAAGTTCAAACTTCCTGTTGCATATTACGCAAGTAAACTGGTTCTTTTCATGAGATTTCATGTGCACTTCTTCATATCCCTTATCATATTCCTTTCCACAAATAGGGCATTCAAACTTATCTCGTTTTTCAGAATTTTGATTATTGTCGTCAGTTTGCCCCATCATGTTGTAAGAAACAGGTGGCTCAACCTAAATCGGAATGTTTATGAAAATCAAAATGTCGGTCTATATAATTATGTATACCTACTTTCTTTGTCTTGACAGGATCGTGCATCCTCAGGTGAAGTCGCAACTGTTTAAAAGTTGGAAACTTGGTATTGCAAATGTTGCACTGATGAAGAGTCATGGTAACCGCCTTCTTTTGTACCATGCCTAAATAATTAATAGAATTTTCGGATTGCTTCTGGTTACTACCTGTTTTAAACATTACCTGATTGATCTTCAATTAAATGCGACTTCATGTGGTCGTTTAAAGATATTAGACAAGAATATGCAGTCTGGCAAAAAGTACATTGATAACGTAATCCTTCTTTAATCTGCAAATGAAATCCATTGTTGTTAGACTCAATATTTGAAACAAAGGAAAACTCTTTAAAATAAATTCCGTAAGCAATTAGTAAGTTACCTTGAGTATTTCACCCCGTTTTTCCACTTTTACCGCTTTTTTTTTAAGCGCACATTTATGCCGATTAAAATGGGATATGTATGGGAATTTTAACTTGCAGTTCGAACAGTTGTAGATATGAAAAATTTTCTCCTGATCGTGTAAAGCTGCGTCTTCATCACTAATAGTGCTTATTTTACCTAGTAAATAAACATACTGGAATGTCGTAAAAATATGTTGTTTTGGTGCTTACCGTCTTCGATTAAATATTTGGTTGTTCTGGGTTCAATGTTTTCATTGACGCTCGTATCACCGATTTCTAACAAATCTTCTCTTCCTTCCTCGTCATCTAAATGGTTTTCCGATGCAGACCTTTAGAAAAGTTAAACACTTAGAAGCGATGTTCAGTTTAACTATGGAATAAAAATTATACATCGTTATAAAACACGCATAATTTAATAGATAGTTGAACCATGAAACGCTTTCTTATTTCTAGGTCCTAGTTTATAGCTTCAGTTCAGATGGGGTTAATCGGAGAAAAAGATAATTTTAGGGCTGTCAAATGAATTTTTATCTGTCTTACCTGATTTGCTGCTCAGTATACATGTCCATGACTGAAGCATTATCCTCAACTGAAGCATTATCCTCAACTGAAGCATCAAAATTCTCACCAGGGAAAACATCAGACTCATCAGCTCCGATTTCAGCAAGTTGATCTTCTACTTCTTCAGTTTCCTAGAGAGATAAAACTCAAATAAGTACAGATCCTGATGGTTATTCGTCTCACATTGATCGGATTTCAGCATTTTGCTTATGAAAATTCTTACACTCATAAAATATGAATAAAAATATTTATTTTAGATCAATACATAACAGGTGTTAGGCGTTAACGAGACGAGATCTATACAATATTATCATATCGAAATTACCAACAAAACTTCTTCGCCATAATGGTACTCGGATAAGTGGTCTTCTACTGAAGTAAAGGTCATGTTACACATATCACAACTATAAATCACAGTGGGGTCATCTTGGATGCTTTTGAGTTCGATGGCGTTTTCTGTAGATGTTGCGTCAGTACTTTCATCTGGACATAAATGTAGTATTCATAAGACTTAAAATACTCGTAAGTCGTTAAAATAAATACGTTATTAGTAATTTTTAAAGTAAATTAACTTTCAATGAAGTAAGTAATTATTCAAGTTATATATCACGATAGCGCTCGATGGAGTTGAACGTTTAAATATATAATATTTCAAGAATAATATTAACATTATAAGTAATAAAAATAAAGTCGTGACTAACTAACTAACTGTTATGTACCATGCCTTGATGACATGATTATTCCGTTAATTCTGGGTTCTCACGTACGCATCTGATTACCTAAACAACATTCGAACCCGATCTAGCTATAAATAAACTAATAACGTCTTAATGTTACAACAAACAAAGTGGTTGAGCTTATTTTTCCTTTTTCGCGCTTAAAAGCTTTCATGAATCGATGAGCGTTTATCTAAATAAGATTGTCCGACACCATCTGTGGAAGTGGTGATAATTCTTTCAGCTAGTCATCCTAAAGTGACCATTTCATTATTTAAGTATATTTTTCTTCTAGGATGGTTAATTGATTTAGTAGTATTTCAGACATAAGATAGCCTTTTGGTTTCACGTTCCAAGAAGAACGATTCTGGATAAACAAAAACGTCATCGAATTTTGATATAAA